ATCTGCCCTCCCCAAAGGCCTTTTTCATCATACAATCCAAGCACATGCTTACTGCCTCATTTGCTATTCCTGAGATTTGCACCTGGCATAAACAGGGTTCTGCTCTAAAAGATCTCCCTTCTCACAGGCTCTTGCAGAACAGGAGTAATGCCCTCTGAGATCTCTTTTTCTCTCATTCTTCAACATATTCTGGCTCTACCAACATGCTCACTCTTCCTCTGTCCTTAGCAGACAGTGGCTACATCTGCACTGCAGAAATAATCTAGTTTGACACTGTCAAACTGGTTTATTTCTGTAGTGCGGATGCACCCTAATTTTTTTTTTTAAGATGGGGTTGGGGGAGACATGCAGCAACAAAATTTGGAGAGGTTAGGTGGCCCCAAACTTCTGCCTGCTATTGGCAGCCATAGCAACAACATTGACCACATTCTAATAGACACAGTATTTCCACATTTGATTGTCTTGGGATTTTTGCCATAAGAAGAAATATATACAGATTCTGACGTCTTTCTGAAGCAGTCTTGGAACAGGCAAAGGGACATAATGCCTAAATGAAGCCTGTCTTGCTCCTCTTTATTCTAAAATGTCATGCGGGTTCCAATGCCAAGGAAGATGTATTTTCTCTGAGCATTGCTACGGTTTATAGCTGTGGATTGATTTTAAGGGGGCTGCATGGGTAACATATGGCCCAACACATATAGCAATTTAAAAACTTGCAAAATATAAACTAAGTTCTCTCTCTGTACAGATTGTAATTAAAAAATGGTCCATTCCTTGTCCTCTGCCACTAAACTTTGCGGTAAGTTTCTTCCAGATGCCCTAACATTTTGAAAACCTTCCAGACTTGTCACAGTCTTATATGGAATTCTTTCAAAGGCTAATTATATCTTGTTATTTTATGGTAAAGTGATTGCTGATCAGTAATCTTTGAGGTTTGGAAACAGCACAGTCTGGGTTGAAGCTAATTGGGGAGCTAGTGTTTCTCTGTATTCAGGAGTTTATACACCAGGGTTATGTTACCTACATGCTGTATATCTTTTCCATATTAACCTATACACATGCTGGATGATCTGAAGGATGTGTTAGAAGATGTATATCATCTAGAGCAGGGGTAGGCAACCTTTCCCCTTTAAGGGCCGAGGCACTTCAGCTCCCAGAATCCCAGGAGCTATTGGCCAACATGGGACTATTGGCCAACATGGCTGAGGCTTCTGGGAGCTGAAGTCCTTCGGCCCTTAAAGGGGACAGGTTGCCTACCCCTGATCTAGAGTGACCATCCTGTGATAAAGTGGGAGGGTAAAGACAAATTCATTTATAGATTTTCAGCTATTCCTATTGTGTATGGTTATATTTCATTGATTCCTAATCTGCATTTCTAGATTTTGTGGGACTGCAGTTCCCAGAACCTTTACCATTGGTCATGCTGGCTTCGGCTTCTGGGAACTGAAGTTCAACAATATCTGGAGACCCAGGGAAGTCTGATTCATGGTTAATTCCATTGAGGATTTCATTGCAGAAGTTACAGTACACTGCTATACACAGTACGCAGTGTGGACGGGTGTGTGGTGATGTGCTTCCCCCCCTCCCCCATGGTGATTCATAGGATTTTGAAGTCACTTTAAACTGATGTGAATTTAATCCAGCCAATGAGTTTCATCTCCATACTTGCATGTTGGTCTTTTACAGGTTTCAAATTCTACCGAAGAATGTAAACCAGCACTGTTTAATTTTTCTAAGGAGGTAATCTTACAGCATCCTCTTAGCAGATCACAGGAGCTTAGATAAAATGTATTTAAGCTTTAGGATAAGCCAGGACTTCTCAAAATGTATTACTTTGTGCATACTGCTTCCTGAATCTGCTACTGACAATAGTTTGAATGGGGATTTTAAAAATTACCTACAATCCTTGCAGGATACAACAGAAGTTGTTCTATAATCTAATATGCAATCTGCGCAGTCTATTTTATTCCTTTGTGTATCCTAGCTTTCTGCAAAAGTAGCCAAGGCAGCTAACAATAAAATAGAACAGCAATATAGAAAACAATATATACTATACTTTAAAGCAGGGGTGGGAATTATGTAGTTTTCTGTTTATTGTTGGATTCTGTGTCTCAGCAGCTCAGCCTCACTATTGGGAGTGAGGAGTGCTGGATGTTAAGTCCAGGAAAATTTTAGAAATGCTTGTGAAATATTTACAACCCGTATTTCAAAATTTCATTCTTTTTTCTTTCCTTTTATTTTTTTAGAGTGCTTATGCCATTCCAGTCATGGCGTTCTCATTTCTCTGCCATACATCAGTATTGCCAATTTATTGTGAGCTCCAAAGGTAACAAGTCATTTATATAATAATTTCACTTAAAATCTAGTAATGTAAGAGTATTGCAGTTTTGCAAACATCTGTTTCCTTTTTCATTTACTGGTGTAGATGACTAATAGAAATGGTTCCTCCAATAGACTGAGCAGTGATGGGTGACCTCTGATTTCAAGAGTTGAAAGCTGTTTGCCAGGCCTCTCCCTCTAGACCACTTAGCCCCTTTCCTCTTCTCCAAAAGCCCAGGATATCAGGAAAGGGCTGAGAGAGGGAATATCACAAAGAAGGAATTTTTAATGTTATTAGAATCCACAGTGCATTCTGGGAAGAATAGGAGGTTATGGCATTACACAAGAGTCCTGCTTAATTAGACTTGAACATTCATTGTTACAACCTTTGGTTTCCCATATTGGTGACCCAGACTTCTGGACAGACAACAAGCAAAGTATGGGCCTGTTGATGCTATGAAATTATAGCACTATAATTCCACTTTAACTACCATTGCTGCATCCTATGAAATCTTGTGGGATTATCAGTTTGGGAAGGGATGCTTAGATATCTCAGACAGTGCTCTGGTGTCTGACCAGACTAAAGCCCATCATCCCATAAGATATAGTAATGGCAGCTAAAGTGCAATTGATGTTGTTGTTATCTGCCCTCGAGTTGGTTCCAACTCATGGCGACCCTGTGGATGATACATCTCAGGGAGTCCCTATCCTCCACTGCCTTGCCCAGATACTGCAAGCCCTTGCCCATAACCCCCCTGATCGAGTCTATCTATCTGATCTGTGATCTTCCTCTCTTTCTTCTACCCTCTACCTTTCCTAATATTGGTGTTTTTTCTAGTAATCCATGCCTTCTCAATATGTGGCCAAAGTATATAGTCTCAAGTTGATCATCTTAGCTTCCAAGGACAGCTCTGATCTGATCTGTTCAAGAACCCATTTATTTGTCTTCTTGACTGTCCATGGTATCCTACGTACTCTTCTCCAACACCACATTTCAAATGAGTTAATTTTCTTTCTGTCTGCTTCCTTCACTCTCCAGCCCTCACATCTATACAAGGTAATTGGGAATACAATGGCCTTGAACGATTCTGACTTTAGTGCTCAGTTGCATGTCTTTGCTCTTCAGTATCTTTTCCAGTTCTTTCATAGCTGCCCTTCCCATTCCTAGTCTTCTTCTTATTTCTTGACTGCAGTCTCCATTCTGGTATGTGTTTGATTCTAGATATGGGAATTCTTTAACTCTTTCAATTTCCTCCTTGTCTAGATTGAATTTATGTATTTCCTCTGTGGTCATTATCATTGTTTTCTTTAGGTTCAGCATCAGACCTGCCTTTGCACATTCAACTTTGACCTTCCTCGTTAACTGTTCCAACTGTTGCAATTATAGCACTATAATTGTGTAGTGTGAAAGGGACTCAGGATTCTATAGGATGCAGCCATGACATGGAATCATAGTGGTCTAACTGTGCGGTGAGAATGGGCCCCATGTGGGCCCTATGTGGAAGCAGCACCTTTCCCACACCATTAATTCTCCCAGCAACTGGAATTCAGAGACATACTGCCTCTACCTTTGGAGGTTCCATCATAACTGATAGCCACTGCCAGAGCTCACTGCCCAATCAATAATCCTAACCACCTTTTAAAGCTGCCAACCTAGCATAGTGGTTTGAGTGTTGGACTATATCTCTGGAGACCGGGGTTCAAATCCCAGCTGGGTCATGAAATGCACTGGGTGACCTTGGACAAGTCACATGCTCTCAGCCTCAAGGGAAGGCATGGGCAAACAATCCTCTGAACAAATATTGCCAATGATAGGGTTGCCATAAGTTGGAAATGACTTGAAGGCACACATACACACACACACACATAAGCCAACCTCCTTCACTGGTGATTTCTATCCATGAACCATCCACTGTCTGTAGAAGTATTTCCTTTACGCAATAGCATTCAAGTAGCTAATTAGAAATGATCAAAGTTGCAGAAAAATGATGTTCCTTGGGATTTACTTACCAGTATTTGGGGAGGGGGGGGGAATTGAGATCCATTGGTCAACAGCTGAAGCAGTCATTATAATAGGTTTCTTTTCTACTGACATCTTAACTGATTATACTTTTTTCCCTCTCTCTTTGTAGTCCATCCAAAAGCAGGATGCAGAAGGTAGCCAACACAGGGATTGGTCTCAGCTTTCTAGTTTATTTTATCTCAGCACTGTTTGGATACCTCACTTTTTATGGTATGTTCACACACATCCCCACCAAGATATTAATTCCTTTTTACTTACACTTACATGCAGAACTGTTCTCCCATCACCATCACTATTACTGCTTCATTCATTTATATCCCCCAAACTGGGGCTCAAGGTGATTTATGAAAACCAGACAAATAAAGATAAAGGCACTCACACAAAGACATAAATAATACTTTGTTAAAATGCAATTAAACTTTATACTAAATTAAAACTATTTAAAATAAATTCATGAAGAAGACAAAAGATAAAAATCAATTGAACAGCATGCTATTAAAAGCCCTTGGAGTTAATAAAGTCTTTTGGAATAGAAAAGTTTTCACTTTCTGATGGAAGGACAACAGTGTAGAAGCCAGTGTAACCTTTCTAGAAAGGGAGTGCTCAAGCGTGGAAGCTTCCATTGAGAGTGTCTCTTCCCATATTGCCATCAAATGCCCCTATGAAGATTGGTGGGATGGAGGTAAGGGGTAGTGGGTGGGTTGCAGGGGTGGAGAGCTGCAGCTGAGAAAAGGTGAGGTGGGGTGGATGGGAGACTGGGCCTTCTAATACAGAATCACAGCCCATATGTTACATTTAATCCACAGGATCCTAAGTGTACTCTGTTGTTGCTTGCTTAATATCTTTAAGTTATCCCAAACAGTTTCCATGGTTCAGCTCTGGGTCATATGAACCCTTCCTTGTGTTGCCGTTCTTATAAGTTGCCACTATTATTTTAAATCTTAGGGAGAACTGAGCAGATGTCACAGAGAAATAAACAGTAAAGCAGAATTTATGATTGCACAAAACTGCAAAACACTGACCTGTGTTGTAAATGTTGTATGATAGCTATGTTGGACAAAATAAACAAGGAAGGCAGGTTATTGAAACAGTCACATGAGAGACAAGTCAACACCTGTTGGACTCTTTTGCAGGAATCAGAATTATGTAGTGATTGTCCGGTGTCAGTCAACTCACTGCACAATTTTGAAGCTTCTTATGTCCTTAGCAGTAACACCTGCTCTATTTTGAAGCAGAGAGCTTTACACCTGCTACTACAACTACTCTTCACAGAGTTTCTCATACCTTTTCAGTGTATACACCTTTTCAGTGTATAGATAGGCCACTTCTATCCTGATTTAATTAGCCTCAGCTCATTATTGCTCTTTATCTTTTGAAAACTTTTATTCACAGATTGGTCTACACAGTTTGGGAGTGTGTAGAACTACTCAAGAGGCCAGATTAACTTGTCCACCTTACTCCTTTTGTGATGAGCACTCTAGTTCAAAAAGGCTAATGCTACTATAATATATGTGTTAGTCTTTACGATGCCACAGTATTCTTTCTTGCTAATACAACAAAAATGTATTGGGACAGTACTCCTCTGTAATGATAAAGTGTGCATGAAACATCACAACTGAAAGTCACTTTGGGCTGTGAAAAACATCTGGTTAGAATAGTCATGCAAATCTTTCTTAGGGAAAAAAAGTCAATTTTTCTTAATATATGATAAGACGATATCTGTAATGGAGCCTCTCTTTTCTTCCTAAACCTGGATTCGAATGACCATACCTTCCAAACGATGAGCACTGTTATAATGGGCATATTCTACATGGAGTGTAATGTCTGCATGTTTTTTAACATCTACAAGCAGCAACACTTAATGGAAGAAAAGCTCTTAGTCATGATCTTACTACCATGGTTGTCTGAATCATTGTAGGCAGGGGCATCACCAGCGGGATGTAGGAGATGTGGGCCACACACTAGGTGACACCCTAAGGCAGTGGTTCTTAACCTGGGTTCAATCGAACACCAGGGGTTCGGTGAGTCAGTCTCGTGGGTTTGGCGGAAGTCAAGACACACATCCGATTCATATGATTCGTGATGACATGCCCCGCTCGTCCATCATTGGCTGCTGGTGATAACCTGTATACGTTTTATATGCCCCACTATTTATGTGCCCCATCCAACCAAACCAGCTTGCCTCGCCTCCACCGACAGAAGTGGCCCTCTGATTGGCCGTGTGGCGTGATTGACAGCACGGCGGCCCACTCCCCTCACCGGATGGCGCTGACGGTCCGTCTGTATTGGCGGTAGAAGGGTTCGGTGAATGCGTAAGAATCGTAAGAAGGGTTCGGTGAATGTGCATATGAAACTGGTGGGGGTCAGTACCTCCAACAAGGTCAAGAACCACTGCCCTAAGGGGTGAGGTGACATCACTGCTTCCCAAACATCTACTTTTTGGCAAAAACAGGGTGTGCATTTGCCTGTGTTCCTTTAAAATGCTGAAGGGATGGTGTGAGTGGGGCGAGGCTCAGTAGGAGGAGAAAAGAGAGGCCCTAGGGTGTTGTTGTTTTTTCCCAAAAAAATTAAATAAATTTTTAAATGTTTACATTTTTAAAATTATTTTTTAATTTTTTAAAAAATATTTTAAAACATCACATCTTACCAAATTTTCACTTTAACCACATGAAATTATCTGCATGTAAATACATTTAGGCTGTGCATATGATAATGTAATTTAAAGGTATAATTTTGATTTTGCTAGTTGTTTAATTAATGTCACAACTATGACCATTACATTCAGCAAGATATGAAAAGTATGCCTGATGAGTAACATTAGTACAAGAAACATTAATAAGGATTCTGTATGGTGTGGGATAGGAGGTGGTCACTCGGTGGGGTGACACCATGAGTTACCACACCGAGTGTTGACAACCCTAGTGACGACACTGAGCATAAGCATACATTGCCTTAATATTCAGTCATATTTCAACACTCCTTACACCACGGTGGCTTTCTTCTTTTCAAAGGTCCATCAAAATATTGCAGAAAGTTGGTGAGTGAACTGTTTGAAAGTGTGGCATAGTCAGCTAATGTGATGTAAATAGAAGCTAATTGTTTATTCAAAAGCATGGTCATTGCATCCTGGTGTTTGCCACTGTGTGTACAATACAGTTTGAATCTTCTTTATCCTAAATGCTTGGGACCAGAAGTGTTCTGGATTTTGGATTTCAGAATAACTATATTTTCACATATATACATAATGAGACATCTTGGTATGGGACCCAAGTCTAAACACAAAATTCATTTATGTTTCATGTGCACCTTATATGCATAGCCTCAAGATAATTTTATACAATATTGTTAATATGTTTGTGCACAAAACAAAGTTTGTGTACACTGAACCACCAGAAAGCAAAGGTGTCACTGTCTTACTCAGGGGAAAAAAATTGGCTTTGGAAAGTTTGAATGTCAGAATTCTGGATAAGGGAAATTCAACCTGTACTGCTGTGTGTTCTTCTTTCTAGGAGAATGTCTCTGAACTTTGTCTTGCTTACCGTGCTATTATTGCAGGACAGGTTCATGAAGCCACAGTCATTTTAATGCATGTAGTTGTGGTCATTTAAATGCAGGGATATCTGTCTTCTAAAAGTTATTTGAAACATGCTTTGAAGTTGTTGAAACATAGTAGGAAATGTACTTTGCTTAGCTAGTCTGCCTGTCCGTCCTCTCTCTCTTTTTTCTTTTGGATTGAGGCAAGCAAGTTGAGCTCTATTGGAAAGTACTTTGATTCCTGACTCTTTGAACCACAATGGCCATGTTTATGCTCTCATTTGTCTATCTGAGAAGAGTTTCTTTTGAAACCTGTGATAGATATGTGGCCAAAATACAACAGATATATCTGATTGGTTTTTGTTAACTGAGCAAGAGAGATGATAAAAGCTACTAGTAAAGATATCAAGGTCATGTAATTGTTACTTGGTGTTTTTGAAAAGGAAATGATCTCTACACACCAAACTTTTATTCACTACATTTCACTTATGTTCTGTAATATGTTGTAAATTATTTACTTCAGCTTCTGCAGCTTTTTTTTAATCTATGCAAGATTGTAAAGTAACGTAAAATCGTGCTCCTCAAAGTGGTGGTCCATGGACAAGTACTGGTCTATGAGCCATCAGTTGTGGGGCCTTGGAGAGTTTTTAAGAAAGAAAGAAATGATTGTAGCAAATGGGGCACAAGTGCGGTACAGGTTCCCTGGCACATTGCGGTGAAAAATAGTTGGTTCCCCACAATACATAGCTTAAGAAGCGGTGATATAGATTTGTCTCAGAGCAGGAGTGGGCAAATGTGAAAGACTAGGGAGTGCAGGCCATGCCAGGTGACACTCTTTGAGTGGGTGACACAACCACTCCCTAAACCAGCGGTAGGCAACCTTTCCCCTTTAAGGGCCGAGGGACTTCAGCTCCCAGAAGCCTCAGCCATGTTGGCCAATAGTCCCATGTTGACCAATAGCTCCTGGGATTCTGGGGGCTGAAGTCCTTCGGCCCTTAAAGGGGAAAGTTGCCTATCCCTGCCCTAAACATTTGCCTTTTGGCCAAAAAAGGCTATGGTGTTTGCCTGTGTCCCTTTAAAATGCTGGAGCTCAGTGGAAGAAATGGTATGAGTGGGGCAAGGTTCAGTGGGAAGAGAAAGGAGCAGCCTCAGGTTGTTGTTG